ACTCTTCATTTCGCTTCTTGAAGCAAGTTGCCTCATGGTGGTTGGTGCCTACACATTCCTGCCCTGCACGTGAACCCTTCCTAATGATGTAGGGGTATGGGGGAAACGAGTTGCGCCTCAGTTCCTGCTGGGAATGGAATAGGATACCAGGGGTGTAGCGCACAGCATTAACAGATGCTTATGCCGCAAGGTGTTTTTCAGCAGAGAGAAGGGCCGATGTGACTTTCTCGAAGTGAGTTCCTTGGTGGGGAGTTGCTTGAGCATGGAACTGGTAACGTTGTAGGCCGGGGTGAGTCCTACAAGTAGCCCAGCTGCAGGTGCCTGTTCGGGAAAGGTGATTCCAATGTCCTTGAGTTCCTCATGGATGTTGCAGATTTCAGAGATGTAGTCTGCCATGCCCGGGCATTCCTCAACGCGGATTTGGAACATTCGAGGAATGAGGATGTCAACTCCCACTGCGGTTTTGTCATGAAAACGGTCCTGGAGGTATTTCCAAATGTGATGCGCAGAGTGAAAGGTCCGGTAGGACTTGACGAGCTCAACTAAAATGGTGGCGATGAAAACCCTAATGACGGCCGCATCCGCCTGCTCCCACATACTGAAGTCTGACTCATACTTGGTGGTCTTCGTGTCGATGCACTCTTGGTTATGGCAGAGGCTACTTCAACAAGAGGATCAGGAGGGAGAGGCATCTTATGTCCAACTATATCTGTGGTAGTCTATGTAGGCTATAGTTGGGTAGCCCAGGGTTTAGGGTGCAACCCAATGTTAGGGTTAGTACTTGTACCTACAACTCATTCAATGCAGTCATTCCTGCTTGCTATCTTCACATGGTTTCAGAGCAGTAGGTCCGTAGGACCGTTTTTTTATTTTCCGGGCCGACCATACTTAGCGACCGACTGCGGTTACCGCGTTACCCCACTACCCTGCGTCGCGCTGCCCCACGCACGCCCTGCCCTGCCCCGCGTCGCGGTGCTCTGCGCACGCCCTGCCTCGTGCTGCCTAGCGTACGCCCTGCCCTGCCTCAGGTCACCCTGCGCCAGCGCCCTGCCCTGCGCCAGCGCCATGCCCTGCGCTAGCGCCCTGCCCTGCGCCAGCGCCCTGCCCTGCGCCAGCGCCCTGCCCTGCACCAGCGCCTTGCCCTGCGCCAGTGCCCTGCCCTGCGCCAGCGCCCTGCCCTGCGCCTGCGCCCTGCCCTGCGCCAGCGCCCTGCCCTACGCCCGCGCTGCTGCCCTGCGCGTCGCGCCCTACGGCAGCCCGCGAGTCGCGCGCTGCTGCCCCGCGCGTTGCGCTCTGCTGCAGCCAGCGCGTCGCGCCTTGCTGCCCCACGCGTCGCGCCCTACGGCAGCCCGCGAGTCGTGCGCTGCTGCCCCGCACGTCGCGCCCTGCTGCCCTGCGTGTCGCGCCATGCTGCAGCACGCACGTCGCGCCAAGCTGCCCTACACAGCGCACGCCCTGCTGGCCGCGCTGGCCAGGCCGAGCCGAGCCGCCCTACCCGACCCGATCCGCCCTGATGCTCGTGCTACTGCTGCTGCTGGTGGAGGTGCTGCTAGGAGTGCTAGAGACGATGCAACCTAGCTTCACCGAGCCACTCTGCTGCTCTTACTGCTACTGCTACTCTTCGTGCTATTGCCTTCACTCCGTACTGCCCTAGAGGTCGCGCTCCTCCTAGCTTGCGCGCCATGACTTCACTTTGTAGTAGCGGTGGGAGTGGTGACGGCGGTGGTGGCAGCAGTGGGAGTGGTGGCGGCCGTAGTAGCAGTCACAGTGGCGCTGTTTGGTGCGGAGTTTCTGGCGGTGGCCAGATGCAGCTACGGCGGCGTCCGATCCTTACGTCCCAGCAGCTTCGTGAGTGGTTTTACCAGCGTGGGACGTCTCCAAGTCCTGGTCGCTGCCCGTACGTCATTCGTACAGGTCATCGAGCTGGTCAGACCTGGTGGACACCTGGTCACGCACAGTCCCGCTGCTTCGCCTATTTGAGTGACGCCTGGCACGCAAAGTTTGGCGACGAGGCTGAGATCCCCCACTAGCTTGAGTTACTTATGTCGGGCATTGATGTCTTTACTTTAGACTATGACGCCATCCTTACTGCTATGTATCCTTTGCCTGGTGGTGCTGCGAGTGACTGTTACCTGTGTGTGCAGTACGACCCCGGTATAGAGGTTGCTGCTCTAGGTGCTAGTGAGGCTGCTGCCTTAGGTGCTAGCGAGTCTGCTCTCTCAGGTACTGCGCCTGCTGAGGCCTTGCACACCTTCACGCTTGACTCAGGTGCTTCTCACTGTTTCTTTCACGACAGCACCGCACTCACGCCACTCCCTGCACCTGTTGCAGTGTCTCTGGCTTACCCCTCAGGGGGCCCAATTCTTGCACGGTCCTCCACTGTGCTTCCGTGCCCGGCGGTTCCATCTGGCTCCTTGTCAGGTCTTCACCTCCCCTCGTTCTCTACGAACCTAGTGAGCAACGCAGTCCTCCAGGATGCATGGGTTGATACCTTTACCCCTGGAGGATAGCGTATGGCAATCTGTACGTGCTCCCGGACTGGCCGTCACCTGGCCACGTTCACCCGTCGGCCAGGGTCGAGTCTTTACACACTGACTACTGAGTCCCCTCAGGTAGCTGCTATTGGTCAGGTGTCTGCGTCAAGTCTGGTAGCCTCCCCTTGTTCGTGTCGCTCCCTGTCGCACCAGACTCTTCTCTGGCACCACCGCCTGGGTCACCCCTCCTTGCCACGTCTACGTGGCATGCACCGTCGCCTCCTTGTGTCAGGTCTTCCCAGGTCTCTCCCTCCCCTCCCTGCCTCGCCTGCGCCGCCCTGCCTTCCTTGCGTCGACGGGTGGCAGCGCGCCGCTCCTCACTCCTCCTCGTTTCCCCCGACAGAGGCTTCTCTACAGACCCTCCACTTGGACGTGTGGGGCCCAGCCCGCGTTCGTGGACAGGGCGGTGAGCGGTAATTTCTGCTGGTTGTCGACGACCACTCGCGGTACACCACGATCTTCCCCTTGCGCACCAATGGTGGGGTCCCTGCTTTCCTGATCCCTTGGATCCGAGCAGTTCGTCTCCAGCTCCGCCGCAGGTTCCGCCAGGACCTTCCTGTCCTGCGTCTGCACTCTGACAGAGGTTGTGAGTTCACCTCCGACCTCTTGCGGGCCTTCTGTCAGGGGAAGGGCATCGAGCAGTCGTTCACGCTTCCGGGCTCGCCGCAGCAAAATGGGGTTGCTGAGCGCCGCATTGGCTTGGTCAAGGAGGTTGCTCGTACCTCCTTGATCCATGCGGCGGCTCCCCCTTTTCTGTGGCCGTTTGCGGTCCGGTACACTGCGCAGCAGCTCAACCTCTGGCCCCGTGTCTCCTTGCCAAAGACCTCGCCCACACTGCGTTGGACGGGGGAGGTTGGCGATGCGTCGCGTTTCCGGGTCTGGGGTGCTCGTGCCCTTGCCGCGGTTGAGGAGGATGTCCTTGAGGCAAATCCCCTTGAGCTCCGAGCAAAGGAGGTGCTTCTCCACTCCATGCCATTGGGAGAGAGGTTAAGAATGACGAGGTTTCCAACGAGAGTTGAAGATGAAGTTGCCATTGCGCAGTGCGCAGCGCTAAATTCTCCGATACCGTACGTAGCGGCAATTTTTGGAATGGAGGAAGTCCGACATGTGGAAACCCACGCTTTTGGCAATGGGACCCCGATACCTGTACTCCTACTCAACTTCGCCGAGGCCCCCTGTTCTGCTTCGCCGCTGCCCCTTTTCCGCTTCACTGTTGCGCCGCTGACCTGTTCTACTGCGCCGCTGGACCTGTTCTGCTGCGCTGCTGGACCTGTTCTGCTGTGCCGCTGACATGTTCCGCTGCGCTGCCGTACCTGTTCTGCTGCGCCGTTGAACCTGCTCTGCTACGCCGATGAGACCTGTTCTGCTGCGTCGATGAAAACATGTTCGAAGTTAAGAAATTGAGAAATTTGCCACTGTGAGATTTTGAATTCCAGAGGCTTACGATGAAGGAAGTTGAGGGCGCAATTTGTCGCCGTTGAAAACCAAAATGCGCGATGAAGGAAGGAGAATGCGCTATTGACCCGTGCGACGATGTGAAGTTAGAAAACGCTAAGCGTAGGAGCCGAGAGCCGAAATAGGCATAGTCTAGAGGAAGAGAACCATCGTGACGCCAAGGATCAGATTCCACGTGAGCGGAATTTTCTAGCCCGATACCATGATAGATAGGGGTCTTATATCCGGGGTATTACGGTATGTGAGGTTGAAATAGTCTGGCAAAAACCTGAAAATCGTGTATTTCGAAGATGTGAGTGAGGCGAAAGCGAGTTTAGGAGGCGGGTAAAACAGCCTTTGCCACGATACTTCGCGACAGTTGTTTTCGAGGATATGGGAGGTCCAAACGACTCAGTGTGCAATAGAGCACTGCTCCCGCCCCAATACTGGTGGGGCACACTGCGCTTCTCTTGGGGTTGAAATGGTGGGCAACACAAAACTCTCACGCGAGTAAGAGTGAGGCAGTACACTGAAAACTATTTTTACTTTTCTAATTGACTAGAATGTTTGGATGGTTTTGAGACTTCACTTCAAGATAACAAAACATTCCAAGTGCTGAATTGGCGCAGAAAAGCACATATCAAGAATCATATTAGCAATACATTTGAGAGCGTACACTCTCAAGCTCAGATCCCGCAACTGATAAGGGACTCGGCCGGCCACATACTGCGACATGCCATGCCGTGCCATTCCCTACACCACTCTGCACTCCCCAGGCCCATTGCAGCGCTGACCAGCCTTGCCCCACCGCACATGCCTTGGCGTGCGCTGCCGCCAGCATTCCTGTCAGTCTGCCTGCCCCCTCCCGCATCAACGCTCCATGGCATACTGCTGACACTGCCAATCTCCATATTTTTGCCGTGGCCCCTGCCTGCCTTCACCCTGTGCTTGCCTTTGTGCCTCCCTCCCACACCACTCTGCACTGACCATGCCGCACGGCACATTCCCTTACCCTTGCCCCATGATCCACCTTCAACTCCTTGCCTGAAGGCAGAGCGTATGGGGCAGCAGGGGAGGCTGAAGGCAGTCTCGAGAGGAGGCTGCCTCACAGCTCTGCCAGCTCGCCTCAGGGCAGATCCAGTGAAGATCTGCTGGATGCGGTGCTTCGGTGGCCTGCCGCGAGGAAGAGGGGGAGGAAAAGGGGAGAAAATGGGGAGAGAGTAGAGTGAGTGGAAGAGCGAGAGGGATTGGGCACATATAGAAACAAACGTGGTTTGGGAGAGGTGGGATGGAAGGCGTGGACAGCAGGCGGCAGGCACAAGGGGGGCCAGCATTGCGGCAGAGTCAGTGAGAGAGAGAAGCTCATCACTTGTGCCAGGGGATCCAGTCATCAAAGAACTTGAGCATGCGTGTGCGTGTTCCTGCACACCGTAAAGAGATTGGCGTTGGCGATGACGGCGCGCGAGTTGACACCCCAGAGAACCGCACGATCAGTTAATACCACGTCGTACCCCAGCGCCAATATGCTCCGCACCACGTGCACCTTCCGCCACACCTGTGCGCGGATGAGAAGGGAAGGATTTGAGGTGGTAAGGTGGGCAGGCGGTAAGGTGGGCAGGCGGTAAGGAGGAAGTACTGAAGGAAAAAGAACAGAGTGTGGGGAGAAACAGGGAAGAGGGACACATGGAAAAGGGACAGGGAAACGGGTAACACGGAGACAGGGAAGGGGATGGGGGGAGGCAGGGAAGGGGATGGGTTGAAGCAGGGGAGGGGGTGGGTTGAACCAGGGAAGGGGATGGGGTGGAGCAGGGGAGGGGATGGGGGGAAGAAGGGGAGGGATGGGGGGAAGCAGGGCAAGGGATACGGGGAAACAGGGAAGAGGATGGGGGGAACGGGGGCAGATTCTGGGGAAAGAGCTTGGGGGAGGATGGTGGGGAGCAGAGAGGGGTTCGAAACACTTATCGATTGGGGTGGTGGAGGCGACCACCTCTGTTCCTCCCCCTCTGGAGATGGTGAGATGGGGAGAGGGGAAGAGCGGATGGAAACGCGACGAGGGGAAGCGGGAGTGACTGGGAGGCAAGGGCGACGACGGGACGCGCGAGCGACGAGGAGGGGCGAGGGCGGTGAGGGTCGGCAAGGGTGATGAGGGGAAGAGCGAGCGACGAGAGGGAATGTGGGTGACTAAGGGAGGTGAGGGCGTCGAGGCGGTGCGGGTCGACGAGGGTGATGAGGGGAGCGCGGGTGACGATCGGAAGCGCGGTATGTTTACTATCAGCGATTGCGACGATGGGATGTGTGGTAGACGTGGGAAAGCGCGGGCGACTAGGGGAACATATGCGACCAGAGGGTCGGCGAGGGTGATGAGGGAAAGCGCGGGCGACGAGGAAAGCGGTCTGACGTGGGAAAGTGTCAGAGTAGTAGTTAGAATGAAGGAGCCATAGCTAGGGTTTAGCTAGCTAGGCAAGAGAGAATGAGGCAAAGGAGGAGGTTCACTAGCAAGCAGGTGGATGCATATAGGAAACCCTAAGGGGTCATACTCACTACAGAGTACCCCACTGCAGGCTAGACAAACTACACATTCTGACACACCCACATAGTCAAAGTGGTGTATAATCAGCAGAGCAAGCAGTCATAGAGCAGGTTCACAAGTGCAAGCAAAGCTAGAGGCATTCACAACGGGCACGTGAGGAGGAGGAGGCTGGACTGTGAGAGGAGAGGAGATAGGAGGCAACGGCTGAAGCTGCAGACACACGGGCAACAGGAGCGGCTGGCACAGTGGCTACCGGGACAGCGCCCCGGACTACTGGAGTAACTGGCTCTACGGCTAACTCTGAGCGGCAGGAGCAACGGACCCACGGGCGACAGGCGCAGCAGGCTCTCTGGGCTACCAGGACAGCGCCCCGGACTACAGGTGCTGCGAACGACAAGACGGCAGCCTCCGCTCAACCTCCCCCAACTGTCCCACCCCCCTTTTCACACACCCCTTGCTGCACCCCTAGCTCCACTCCCACGTCACCCCCCTAGCACCACTCCCTCGGCTCCCACACACCCCACCCCCTCAGCGGCAGCTGCAGCAGTGGGAGACGGAGAAGGAGGAGGAGCAGGGGACGGCTCACACACCCGCCACCCCCATAACCGTCACCCCCATACCCTGAGTGTGCGGTAAGCGAGCTCAGGTGTGTGCGAAGCGTGCACATGCGTGCGGGAAACGAACTCGGGTGTGCGGAAAGCGAACTCAGGTGTGCGGGGAGGGGGGGCGCAGGGCGACGCGCGGGTCGACGGGGACGGGCGCACGGGTCCCCGGGGGCGGCGCGCGGGTCGACGGGGCCGCCGCGAAGGGCGACGGGGGGCCGCGCGCGGGTCGACGGGGCCACCGCGAAGGGCGACGGGGAGCCGCGCGCGGGTCGACGGGGCCGCCGCGAAGGGCGACGGGGAGCCGCGCGCAGGTCGACGGGGACGGGCGCGCGGGTCGACGGAACGCTAAACCGCCGCGCGCGCCCAGGGTGCGCGGCGGGCAGGAAACCGCCACGCGTCCCGAGCGCATGGCGGGCAGAAAACCGCCACGCGCCCCGAGCGCGTGGCGGGAAGAAAAAACATCGCACGCCACGGGGCGCGCGACAGACAGTATGGCAGCGGAAGCAGGCGGGCCCACATGCCAGGAGCGTAACCGCTCTGATAGCATGTCAGAGTAGTAGTTAGAATGAAGGAGCCATGGCTAGGGTTTAGCTAGCTAGGCAAGAGAGAATGAGGCAAAGGAGGAGGTTCACTAGCAAGCAGGTGGATGCATATAGAAAACCCTAAGGGGTCATACTCACTACAGAGTACCCCACTGCAGGCTAGACAAACTACACATTCTGACAGAAAGAGCGGACGACGAGGGGGAACATATGTGACTAACAGCAGCGTGCGTCACGCGAACCAGTACGGTTCTCGCGTCTGCGACCCGTGGCTAAAACGGTACGATCGTGACACGAGCCTGAACCGCAGCAAGTGTGACAAGAGCCTGCGTGTGCGACGCGAGCTTGAATGCAAGACGCGAGTAACGCGAAGATCGTTCACTAACTGCCACGGGGGAAGGGGTTGTAACATGAGACTGGTGACATGAGGGGGGGATTGGAGCGTGCATCGACTAAGATGGTTAGGGTGGATACCTATCTTTCTTTCCGCACCATAAAAAAAACCTATCAACGACTCGCTTTTGCCAACTAACGCTAGTTTTTGCGTTGGAGCCTCCTATTCTATGAGTATTACTTGGTAAGTGTAAGGAAAAATCCTCTTCCTTACTTCGCGTCCCTACTCAGCGCGTACACCACTGTTCCCGCCACCAGCACCCAACAGTAAACTGTTACCACTCGCGACATTCGCCTCGACACTATTCCCGCCACTGTTCACGACGCGAACCAACCTCACGGTTCGGTTGGTAACCCGCGCTCCGGACCTCCGCCTCGGCAATTCCCAACCTCGGCGCCAGGCCCGTCGCGCACCCCATTTTCACGCATTATCGTTACCACTGTAGTTTCGCTAAATATTATTTGCTCATGCCTTCGCTCATGGTACTCATTGCTTCAATAGTGCAATTCTCGTTCGATCGCTCAATTGCACTCGTAACACTTGGTATTCAGAGCCTACGATCTCTTCTCGGACCGCACCCACACCTTCGCTTCCCCACTATCTTTTTTTTTGGGGGGGGGGGTAGACGTCTCTCAGCGAAACAAGAATTGACAGTCGCAACGTCGTTTTGTCCCCTCACTCGCACCCAGTGCCTCATTTCTGGCTGAACGCTTTTGGTACGCAAGTTAAGCCGATCCAAAACTATTTAAGAATGATGTGAAGTAGGGAAATTAGACTTGCTAAGAAAACAACATGAAAACAATAAGAAAGCACATTAGGTAACCCTCAAAAGAGATTTTACTCCTCACATTCTAACAGAATTAGGGGATTTTTTATCAGCATAAATTAATATGATGCACTGATAATCAAGGTGATATTGTATATACTTACAATATTAGATTTCTATCATAAATTATGGTTTTTGTTGTGATCAAAAGTTAATCGAGCCTAGGTCACCTCACAAAGGTTCGCACAGAGTGAATTGCAGCAGAAAAGTTGACCTCAGGTTAGAGTGAATATTAAATGACTGAGATAAATAAAACAAAGGCATACATTTGTAAAATTGTACGGTAATGCAAAGTAAAACCAAATGTCTCAGATAGCCAGGTACTTTAAGGGTTACATTCCCTTATTGCAACGGAACGCAACTGTGCAACTCCGGACGTTTAAAAACTTGTTCCCGCCAAAATTCTTCGTGCTGCATGTCAAACTTATATGCTATAGTCTGTGTAGGCTGTAGTGGGGTAGACAATATGGGGTACAACACTTCTAGGTTTTCCTACTTGTACCCACCTGTTTCCTAGTGCATTCATCCCTCGTTCTTTCACATGGTATAGAGCGGGTTCCCTAGTGGGACCGTTTCTTCCAAGGGCCCACCTTCGAAAGTTTTTTTTAGCCTGCCCTAAACGCGCTTTGCGTCCTGCCCGAAAATTTCACGGCCCCCTTAGTGGCCCCTTCGCGGCCCCCCTTAGTGGCCCCCTTCGCGGCCCCTTAGCGGCCCCTTTGCTGCCCCTTAGCGGCCCCGTCGCGGCCCCTTAGCGGCCCCTTCGCGGCCCATTCACGGCCCCTTCGCGGCCCCTTAGCGGCCCCTTCGCGGCCCCGCCCCGTCGCCACTTCGCGGCCCCCTTAGCGACCCCTTCGCGGCCCATTCACGGCCCCTTCGCGGCCCCTTAGCGGCCCCTTCGCGGCCCCGCCCCGTCGCCACTTCGCGGCCCCCTTAGCGACCCCTTCGCGGCCCCTTCGCGGCCCCTTCGCGGCCCCTTTGCGGCCCTGCCCCGTCACCAGTCGCCGCCCCGCCCCGTCACCAGTCGCGGCCCCGCCCCGTCGCCAGTCGCGGCCCCGCCCCGTCGCCAGTTGCGGCCCCGCCCCGTCGCCAGTCGCGGCCCCGCCCCGTCGCCCCTGCCTCGTCGCGACGCCTCAGCGGGACCCGCGCGTCGCCCCCGCCTCGTGGCGTCGCCCCTGCCCGCCGTGGTGCCCTGCCCTAACCCGCGCCCTGGAGCAGCCGCCACTGCAACAGCCGCCCCTAGAGCAGCCGCCCCTGCAGCAGCCGCCCCTGGAGCAGCCGCCCCTGCAGCAGCCGCCCCTGGAGCAGCCGCCACTGCTGCAGCCGCCCCTGGAGCAGCCGCCCCTGCAGCGGCCGCCCCTGCAGCAGCCGCCCCTGCAGCAGCCGCCACTGGAGCAGCCGCCACTGCAGGAGCTGCCCCTGGAGCAGCCGCCCCTGCAGCAGCCGCCCCTGGAGCAGCCGCCACTGCAGCAGCCGCCCCTGGAGCAGCCGCCCCTGCAGCAGCCGCCCCTGGAGCAGCCGCCACTGCTGCAACCGCCCCTGGAGCAGCCGCCCCTGCAGCAGCCGCCCCTGGAGCAGCCGCCCCTGCAGCAGCCGCCCCTGGAGCAGCCGCCACTGCAGCAGCCGCCCCTGGAGCAGCCGCCCTTGCAGCAGCCGCCCCTGGAGCAGCCGCCACTGCAGCAGCCGCCTCTGGAGCAGCCGCCTCTGCAGCAGCCGCCCCTGGGGCAGCCGCCCCTACAGC